TGCCCATTTTTTAATTGGGTTCTTTGTCTTCCTTTTGTTGAGTTGTATGAATACTCTATATATTTTGGAAATGAACCCCTTATCATCAGATTGGCAATTATGCTTTTCCATACAGTGGGTTGCCTTTCCATTTTGATGGTTGTTTCTTCCCTAATTTCTTTATATGTCTACACATATTCACACATTTTTATAAAACCCCATAGTAGGCTTCTTAAGGAGAGGGTCCATTTTATTTATTAATTTGTTTGTTTTTAAAAAATCTTTTTATCTGGTTTGTTATTTTCTCTCCTTATTAATCCTCTTCTCTCAGTAAACATGGTAACCCATGTTAACCTGCTGGATATTCTATACTTTTCTCCATGCTTACTGTTATATACAAAAATATGTGTTTGTCTAAACACACACTTATATATAGTTTTTAATTTTTTAAATATATTTTTATTGATTTAGAGAGAGAGGATGGGAGAGTGGGAGAGAGAGAGAGAGAGAAAGAAACATAGATGTGAGAGAGAAACATGCATCTGTGTCCTCTTGTATTCACCTCCACCACCGATCAAACTGGTAACTTGGGCATGTGCTCTGATTATGACTTGAACCAACGACCTTTCGGTGCATGGGACAGTGCTCAACTAACTAAGCCACACCGGCCAAGGCTATGTAATTTTTTACTTATTCCTTTAAAAAAAATAAGATCAAGTACTACAATGTGGACATTCCTTTAAGTCTATTGAAATAGCTTAAATTTATTCCTTTAAAAAATGTTTTTGCATTCCTTTTTTTTAAAGCACTGTATTATGAAAAATTTCAAATATATAGAAAAACTGAAAGATGATCACAATGAACATTAAAATACTATCTACCTAGGTTCAGTAATTGTTAACATTTTATCATATTTACATTATCTTTCTCATCTTAGCATGTTATAGATATTACTGTTGCTGTACCATTTGAAAATTAGATGTAGACATAATGACATTGTACCACCAAATACTTTAGCATGCATCTCTAAGGACATTCTCCATCATAACCATGATAATCATATCTAAGAAAATTAATAATATTGTTTTAATATCTGATACCTAATTCAGATTTGATTTTTTTTCATTTTCAAAAATGTCTTTTATAGGTGTTTTGATCCTCACCCGAGGATATTTTTCCATTCATTTTTTTTTTTTTTTTAGATAGAGTGGAAGGGAGGGAGGGAGAGAGAGAGAAACATTCGTGTGAGAGAGACACATCGATTGGTTGCCTCCCACACGACCCCAACTTGGGCCTGGGATCGAACCAGCAACCCAGGTATGTACCCTTGACTGGAATGAAACCCAAGACCCTTCAGTCCCCAGGCCAACAGTCTATAACTGATGAGCCAGATCTCCCAGGGCTATAGGTTTTTATATTGAACCAAGACACATTCAAGGTTTACTCATTTGCATTTGGTTGATATGTCTCTTTATTTTAATCAAGAAACATTTGCCCAACTTTTTTCTTCCTTCTGTGAACCTGTTTGAAGAGTTTTGCCCAGTTAATTTGTAGAATGTCCCCCATCTCAGATTTACCTGATTATTTTCTCATGATATTATTTAACTTTTTCTTTATTTTATGTAATTTGAAAATTAGCTATAGAGGCTTAATTAGATTCAGGTTAAACATTTCTAGAAAGACTTCTGCATAGGTGATGTTATGAACTTTTTTTTTCTTTTGGGTCAGGGGAGGGGCTCAGGAAGTGGAGAGGGTTTGGGGATATGAGAGGAGGGAGCTGGGAGAAGGGCCACTGGAGCTCCTAGAAGGGGTGCAGGGAGTACTATGAACTTTTTTATGTTGCATCACTTTAGGAAACACGTAATGTCGAATATCTCACTATTAATGCCACGAAGAGTGTTCACTTGTTTAAGAGATGATCTCCAGATATCGCCACTGTAAAGGAACATATTTCTCTTTGTAATTTGTAAATAATCTTGAGATGATGGTATCATGTGACTGTCCTATTTTCTAGCACATAGCCTTTTACCTAGTGGCTTTAGCATTCACGGAGGACCTTTCCCTAAATCAGTTGGTACATTGGAGCTATAACATGGTGATTTTATAATTTTTGTGTTTTTCAGCTTTCTAATTTTTTTAAAAATATACTTTTTATTATTATTTTTTTTAATTTAGTTTTTTTTTTTTTAAGGAAAAAAGGAGAAAGAGAAGTTGTGTATGAAGGGAGAGGTAGAGAGAGGAAGAGGAGAGATGCTGGGGGAAAGGAAGGGGACACGAAGGGTTGGGAGGAGAGAGGTGGAGGGAGAGACTGAGGAGGAGGAAGAGGAGGAGACAGAGCTGTGGAAGAGGAGGAGAGAGGAAAAAAATATACTTTTTAAATTACAGTCGACATACACTATTATATTAGTTTCAGTTGTGCAACCTAGTGATTAGACATTTATATACTTTACAGGGTGCTCACCCCATTAAGTCTAATGCCTATCTGGTACTGTACATAGTAATTAGAATATTATTGTTTATGTTCTCTATGCTGTACTTGATATCCCTGTGACTATTTTATAACTGGCAATTTGTACTTCTTAATCCCTTTCTCTCATTTCCCCAACCCCTTCTCATCTGGTGACTGTCAGTTTTTTCTTTGTATCTATGAGTTTGTTTCATTTGTTCTGTGTTTTGTTTTGTTTTTTCCCTCACCCAAGGACTTTTTTTCCAATTTTTGTTCAGATAGAGTGGGAGGGGGAGAGAGGATGAGAGAGAGAAACATCGTCATGAAAGAGACACATCAAGTGGCTGCCTCCCGCATGACCCCAACCAGGGCCGGGGACGAATTGCAACCAAGGTACATACCCTTGGCTGGAATCGAACCTGTGACTCATTGGTCCGCTGGCTGATGCTCTAACCGCTGGCTGCGCCAAACCGGCCAGGGCTGTTTTGTGTTTTTATTATATGGTATTTGTCTTACTCTGACTTATTGTTTCAGATGGTAAAAGTCACTTGTTTCAAATGGTAAAATTTTATTCTTTTTCATGGCTGATTACTACTCTGTGTGTATATGTACCACATCTTCTTTATCCATTATTCTATCAGAGGGTACATAGGTTGCTTCCATATCTTGGCTATTATAAATAACACTGCAGTGAACCTAGGCGTGTGTATATGTTTTCAAATTAGTGTTTTGGATCTTCGGCTAAATACCCAGGAGTGGGGTTGCTGGGTCATATGGTAGTTCTATTTTTAACTTTTTGTCATCTCTTATTTTTTGATATCATTTGGGTGTATCAGTTATTTATTTATTTATTTTAAAAATCCTCAACTGAGGATATTTTTCCATTTATCTTCAGATAGAGTTGGGGTGGGGGAGAGAGAGAAACATCTATGTGAGAGAGACATATCGACTGGCTGCCTCCTGCAGGACCCTGACCAGGACCCTGACCAGGGCCCGGGACCAAACTGCAACCCAGGTACATGCCTTAACCGGAATTGAGCAACTCTTTGGTCTGTGGGCCGACACTCAAACCGCTGAGCCAAACGGCTAGGGCCATAGTCATTCTCTTTGATGTTCAGTTTCCTAAATTTGGTCAGTGGCTCACCATTCAAGCTGGTTTCTTTGTCCTATGATTCTATTCTTAAAAAACGGTGCATATTATTACTCCAGTAATGTAGTTGTGTCATGCTTTAGTCAATTATTGCCCAATGATGGATGTTCACTTAGTTTCCGGTATATTTGTCATAATAAACATTGCTAAAATAAATGTTCTTTTTTTAAGAAAAATACTTTTATTTTTATTTTTTTTTAAAGCGAGGGAGAGGGAGAGGGGAGGAGAGAGAGAGAAAGAGAGAGAGAGAAACATTGATTGGCTGCCTCCTGCATGCCCTTACTAGGGTTGGAGTCCACAACCCAGGCATGTGCTCCGACCAGAAATCCAACCTGTGACCCTTTGGTGCATGGGGTGACACTCAGCCAACTAACTGAGCCTGCGAAGTAGGATTCTTTGTTTATATACAGTCATTCCTCACCACTTCGCTCTTCAATGGTTTGATGGTCACTGCTTCACTCTATAGCGGTTTTTTCAAAAGCTGCAAAAGTTGAAGTGCGATGTGGCGAGGGACGATTGTACTAGGAATACTGCTTTTTTTCCCTCTATCTCAGCATTTCTGCATTACAATGTCCTAACATCCTTAGTTTCTTCAGAGAGTTATCTGAGTTTTTAAATGTTTTTTAGTTATTAGTTGTCTTATGTAGGATGTAAGCTCTTTGATAGCAAAACCTATGTTCTCCAAGGACCTGGTGCTTAGAAATAGTGTTTAATAGGCAGTTGGTAAATATTTAGTGAATGGCTGATTGAATGATGAGTCATTCATTTAGGAAATTTAGTTTGATAGCCATCCTAAATTTCCCTTTGTCTGTTTTGAATGCTTTTGCCTTTTAGTATGCTTTCCATTTTTAATTTTTACATAAGTTTTCTCAACCTATCGAAAGATACAGACTTCTTTTGATTACTAGAAAGACTATCCAGATTTGTGCTTGTAATCATAAACAGATTATTGCCCTTTTCTTCTAACTAATCTGAAATTATAAAATTTGAAAAGTAAGAGTTTATAGTAACATTGCTGACTCTTTGAAACACATTTTTCTAAAATAAGTAATGGACTTTTCATTTGACATTATAGACAATCACATCCTTTTTGTTTTATGTAAGTTACTCTTGAGATTGTTGGGTTATCTTTTAGGGTAGAAAACATTCTCAAAATACTCTTGAGAACTGTTATTAGGGGATGTAATTCTTCCTTTGCAGAGAGATCCAATTTATTTTTCGAATGGATACTTCTTGAATCTGAGGATCTGAAATAACCTGATTTAGATACATAGGTATTAAAAAATTTATTTAATTCTCCATAGTTCAATATTTATTTTATTGATCTATTTTATATTAATTTAATTTCTTGAATTTTTACATGATTTTTATATTGAGATTCAAAAATTGCATATTGTTTGATATTATTACCACTTTATGTTTCAGAATGTGCCCATTTACTTTTGGCTCACAATGCTCCAGTAAAGGTGAAAAATGCTCAGGGATGGAGCCCGCTGGCGGAAGCCATCAGCTATGGAGATAGACAGATGAGTAAGCAATATAAATTACTGTTGTTTTTATATTGTCTAAAAAATCCGAAGTGATGAATTTGAAATATTTTTTATTTAGCATAACTTTTCATACTATGAAAAGTGTGCATTTATTTATAAACTTATGTGAATTATTAGGAACTTGAACATTGGTAATACATAAAAATAATTGAGGCTCAGCTGGTGTTGGCTCAGTGGATTGAGCATTGTCCATTGGACTGAGTTCAATTACCAGTCAGGGCACATGCCCAGGTTGCAGGCTCGATCCCCAGTAGGGGGCGTGCTTGAGGCAGCTGATTGATGTCTCTCTCTCACATCCATGTTTCTCTCTCCTATCACTCTAAAAAAATCAATAAAATATATTTTTTAAAAATTGAGGAATTACATTTAAAAGTATGTTTTGTGTCTCTTTTTACCTCATTCTGCCCTATTGTTTGTTAGTCTTTAAATTTTAATTTTAATACCATTTAGAATGAAGGACTTTTTAAAAACATTGAGACTTGACTGTCCTTTCTGACAACTGCTTAATTTTTTGGAAGATTAATTGGAACTGAAAATAATTAGTTAATATCAGTTATCTATCTGCTTTAATTGCCAAAAGCAAGGAACAAGTCTGTCTCTGTTTTAGTCTTTAGAGAATTTCCAAAAAATGTCACATACATTTTTCAAAGATATTGAGTGTTCAGTTATTTCACTCTCCCTCCTCCTACGCCTTTGTTTTTTTCTTCCATGTCCCCCCAGTCACAATACAAACTGCCTTTTTTTTCCAACTTCATATGCAGGTCTTATTTTTTCAAATGCATCTCAATAGTTGAAAATTATAAAAAAATTTACATCTGTATGAATGGGAATATTATCTTTCTGGTAATATATCTTTTTTATATTTTGAGGCTGAAAATGATTACTTCAGTCTAGTTTTATAGAAGGAAATATAAAAAAAATTGTGACAGTTTTATGAAAAAAAAAAAGTGTGACATTGAACACGCCTGGGATGTTACATATATTTAGTTTTATTTTTGATAATAAGTTTTGGGCTCTTATGGGCTTTTTTTTATGTAATGCACATACTACATCTTTGTGGAGTTTGTGAACACCTTGGGCAACTTAATGGTGAAGTTAGATTTGGGCTTAAGTTTTAATGTGAGATAAAATTGTGATATTTTAACAACCCTATGAATATATATATTTTATATATATGTATGTATATATAGCTATTAATTGAGAGTTGTCCTTTCTGGACATTGAGAGACCCTTATGAGAGCAAGAACTGTATTAACCCTGGAATTATTTTAGGGAAAAGATAAAAATATACAGCTCTAAGAAAGTGAGAATGAATTCAAAGTTGTAGCAGTTGGTCTGAAGGAACTTTCTCTGATATATTTAAAAATTTATTTTGTTGATTTTTTAAATTTTTTTTAGAGAGAGAGAAATATTGATTAGTTGCTCCACTTATTTATGCATTCATTGATTGATTCTTGTATGTTCGTTGACCGGGGATTGTGCCCTGACTGGGGATTGAACCTGCAACCTTGGCGTATCAGATGATGCTCTAACCAACTGAGCTACCCAGACACAGGGCTATGATATTTCTAAATGATCGGTAGAGTGGAGAGGAAACCATATGGATTCCTAGATTTCTGACCCACCTTGAGACTTCAGTGACTTTCAAGGATTTTCTTATTCAGGATTAGTGAATATTTATCGAGTCTACTATAAAGCATGGATATAGTAAAATGTAGAGAATGAAGACATGGTTTCTACTCTTTAGTAATTTATAATCTATGGGGAAGGCCAATAAACAGAGTTTTATAAGAAAATCAGTGCATATTTAGTAATACATTTTTAAAACATTTATCTTTATTGTTGAAAGTATTACAGAGCCCTGGCCTGTTTGGCTCAGTGGTTAGAGCGTCGGCCCGCAGACCAGTGCATTACAGGTTTGATTCTGGTCAAGGGCACATGCCTTGGTTGCGGTTCATCCCTGGCCTTGGTTGGGTCATGCGGGAGGCAACCAGTTGATGTACTATCATATTGATGTTTCTCTCTGTCTCTTTCTCTCTTCCTTCTTCCCACTCTATCTGATGATAAACAGAAAAATATCCTTAGGTGAGGAATAAAAAAAAAAAGACATATTACAGATGTTCCTCCTTTTTCACCCATTGTTTCCCTCCACCTCATTCCTGCCCTGCTCCGATAAATTTTAATATAAAAATTGAGGCACATAGTAGTTAAAGCCTGTTTTTAAAATGATTTGTATGCATTGATATCTCAGATACACATTTTGAATAGTACCCATTGCCAGTCATTTATATAACTGTATGTCCATAATTATTCAGTGCTTGTATTTTTTTATTTTTTCTTAATTGATTTTAGAGAGAAAGGAAGGGAAAGGGGGAGAGAGATAGAAACATCAATGAGAGAAAACATTGATTGGCCACCTTCTGCATGCCCCCAACTGGGGATCAGGCCCACAACCTGGGCATGTGCCCTGACTAGGAATCAAACCGGCGATCTCTTGGTGCATGGGTCAATGCTCAACCACTGAGCTACTCTGGCTGGGCAGTGCTTGTATTTTTATTACTTCCTGCCACATGAAAGAAATATTTAACTATTAACTTAAAGGACAATTAATTGAATAACCCTTATGGTACATATTTAGAAATACTAATGTGAATGTATTTATAAAGGTGTTAAATATGTCTGTACTTTGAAAATTTTTAATTAAGCTTTTGATTATTTAGCTTATGCTACATTAAAATTTTCTGGGCATAGTAAATTACATTGATAATCTAATATTATAAATTATTAGTGAAAACTTTGACCTGTTTGTCTTTTGGTTCTAATTTCTAATATTTTTGTGCTACGGAACAGTGAGTCAATTCTAAATTATTTTTCAGAGACTACTTAGAATTATTTCCTTTGAAACTAATAAAAATTTAAGATTAGGTTGCTTTTCTGCCTTCTAATGGTTACTTGGTGAACAGTGATCAGCCCAGACCAGTATCAGGGAGAGAGATGTATACAATATAAAAGTCTTTTCCTGACCTATTCCCTCACCCATGGTCTGCAGTTTTCCTCTGATCTAGACTGTTTTTAAAAAATTTTTTTTTATCCACACTGAGACCTAGCTGTTTTTTCAGGAGTTGCTCATAGTTTGTACAGATTTACTTTGTAATATATATGTTATGATAATTTTAGGAATTCTCTCAGCCTCTGTTTTATTTTTGTCACACAGCAAAGTTAGTTTGGAGGCAAAGATTCAGCAGTCCTTCTTGGTTTGCAGTCTTGTCTGGAACTGGCAGTCTTCATTTCGGTTTCAACTTCATATTTTTTCATACATTTTGAAGTGGTCCGCTCTTTTCCTTTGTAATACTCAGTGCACTTCTAATTAATTGTTCAGCAGTGTCTGTCCTAATGATAGAAGCTTTGTGAGGACTTAAGTCACGTATAGGTTCTGATTCATCCTTTTATCTCTGGCTCCCAGAACAGTGCCTGGTGCATATATTTGTTCACTGAATTAATGAAGAAGTGAATAAAAACAGCAAAGAAAATTTAAGACTACTTACTAAGAATTAAAATTTTTCTGTAAAGTATTAGGATTTTTGTTTATCATAACTCTCCTGAGTTCAAAACTTTATAATATTTTTTCTTTCATATTCACTATCGAAAATTAGGAAATTATGGAGAAAAAATAAGGAAATAATTTTACCCAGAGATAACCACTGTCATATTTAGTTTAGTTTCTTTTTCTGGTCATATTGTTCTCCCATTTAAAACTCTCTACAAATTTCTATACTTAGAATGAACAAAATCTCTAACTTGGTTTATAAGATGCAGAATGATAATGTCACCTTTTCATCTTCCTTATCTTGTTCTTTCTACATGGCTTTCTATGTTGTCAGCACTGCTAGCCTATTAGTTTCTAATAGTCACACATCCTTTGCCTTCTACCCCAACTTCTTATAATTCTTCAAATTTTAGCTCAAGTACAAGGGTGCATTCTCTGCTCATACAGTATGTTAGAACTCTATCTGTCATTCCCTTTAGGCAGTAAGTTTCATTAGAGCAGGGTTTGTTGTCTAAGTATCTACTAGATGCATCTGAACTACAATATGAATGTGCCATTAGCTTTGACATTATAGTTTGGGGAGAGAGAGCAATGAATATTATTATTATTTTTTTCATTAATTTATTTTTGTTAACAGATATTTCTCCTTTTTGTCCCCATTGACACCCTCCTCCCCATCCCCCGCACCCTGTCCCCAGCTTTGTTGTCCATGTCCATTGGTTATGTGTACATGCATATAAGTTCTGTGGTTTATCTCTTCCCTCCCCCCACCACCCCCTCTTCTGAGCGTTGGCAGTCTGTACCCTTCTTCCACCCACGTCTCTGGGTCTATGCTGTTCCTCAGACTGTTATGTTCATTATATTCCATAAATGAGATCATGTGATATTTGTCTTTCTCTGCTTGGCTTGTTTTGCTTAGGATAATACTCTCCAGGTCCCTCCATGTCGTCTCAAAGGATAAGAGATCTTTCTTTCTTACAGCTGCATAGTACTCCATTGTGTATATCTATCACATTTTTTTTTTTTTTTATCTATTTGTATACTGATGGACACTTGGGTTGTTTCCAGATCTTAGCTGTTGTAAATAGTGCTGCTATGAACATGGGGGTACATATATTCTTTCTGATTGGTGTTTCAGGCTTCTTAGGGTATATTCCTAGAAGTGGGATCACTGGGTCAAATGGCAGTTCAATTTTTAATTTTTTGAGGTAACACCATAGTGTTTTCCATAGTGGCTGTACCAGTCTGCATTCCCACCAGCAGTGTCCTAGAGTCCTCTTTTCTCCACATCCTCACCAGCACTTGTTTGATGATTTGTTGATGGCGGCCATTCTGACAGGTGTGAGGTGATACCTCATTGTTCTTTTAATTTGCATCTCTCTGATGATCAGTGATGTTGAGCATTTCTTCATATGTCTCTTAGCCATTTGTAT